AGGCTGCGTTCTCAACCGGCTTCCTTGCAACTCAGGTAGGTCCTGGGCCGGGGAACCGGAGCCAAGCCGTGGATGCGCTACAGCGAGAAGGGGACCCAAGGGGTCGGCCGCGGCAAAGGTCCCTAGAACCCCCGCGCCAGCTCACGCTGCTAACGGCAGCTGTAGAGATTCTGCGTGAGGTTCGGGCTCCTGGACTTCGCCTTTCCCGAGCCGTGGAGGTGGGGAAGAAGGGCGAGCAGTTCATGCCTGCAGCGCAGAGCCCCAAACCCGCGCTTTTAGAAATAAAAAAAGCCAGGCCGGGCGCGGTGGCTCACGCCTGTAATTCCAGAACTTTGGGAGGCCGAGGCGGGAGGATCACGAGGTCAGGAGTTCGAGACCTGCCTGGCCAACATAGTGAAACCCTGTCTCTACTAAAAATACAAAAATTAGCCAGGTGTGGTGGCGGGCGCCTGTAGTCCCAGCTACTCGGGAGACTGAGAAAGGAGAATCGCTTGAATCTGGGAGTCGGAGGTTGCGGTGAGCAGAGACCATGCCATTGCACTCCAACTTGGGTGACAGAGTGAGGCTCTGTCTCAAAAGAAAAAAAAGAAAAAAAAAAAAAAAAGAGCCGGCCAGGTGTGGTGACTCACGCCTGTAATCCCAGCACTTTGGGAGGCCGAGATGGGCGGATCACCTGGGGTCGGGAGTTCGAGACCAGCCTGACTAACATGGAGAAACCCCGTCTCTACTAAGAATTGAAAAAAAAAAGGAGATCGAAATCATCCTGGCTAACATGGTGAAAACCCGTCTCTACTAAAAAATACGAAAAACTGGCCGGGCGAGGTGGCGGGTTCCTGTAGTCCCAGCTACTGGGGAGGCTGAGGCAGGAGAGTGGCGTAAACCCGGGAGGCGGAGCTTGCAGTGAGCCGAGATCGCGCCACTGCACTCCAGGCTGGGTGACAGAGCGAGACTCCGTCTCAAAAAAAAAACTTAGCCAGGTGTGGTGGCACATGCCTGTAATACCAGCTATTTGGGAGGCTGAGGCAGGAGAATCGCTTAAACCTGGGAGGTGGAGGTTGCAGTGAGCCAAGATCGCGCCATTGCACTCCGGCCCGGGCGACAAGAGCGAAACTCCGTCTCAAAAAAAAAAAAAGCCATGGGTCAGGAGCCAGAACCCTCTGCTCTAGTCTTAGCTGTGCCAGCGTGACTCCCTGTGTGATTTGGGGGGTAAATTACTGCCCCTCACTGGGTCTCTGTCTACACACCTGCAAAATGAGAGGGTCTTTGGATGAGTCTCCTTAATTCATTTCCTAGACAAGCTTCCTCCAAGGCTTCCCCAGATTCACCAGCGATGCCCCTCCCTAAGTATCAACTTGGCTGTACTTTGAACTCTGGCCCCTCAGGTTTCAAGGGTTTGTCTGGGATCAAACAGGCCTTGTCTGGGATCAGTTCTGTCTGGGGAAAGAAGCTGCACCAGCCTTTGGATAGCAGGCTGAGTCATTTGTTTCTTGTGCCTTGAGTCAGTTCTCTCATCGGCTCTCCTCCTAGTCCAGTGTTATTACCTCCAGTAAAGATCGAAAAGTTGGGGTTCAGAGAGGGCTAGAGACAGACAGCCTGCTCTGTCCTGTCTTTTCTCCTGTGCTGGATTTTAAAAATCCAAATATATTTCATGGTACAGTGGAAGAACTGGTCAGAGAGTCTGGAAGTTTGGGTTCTGGTCCCGGCTGTGCCACTGACCCACTGTGACCTTAGGTAAGTACCTGCCCCTTTCAGGCTCAGTCTACTCTGCCCAGCAGCCAGGATATTGTTCAGATGCTCTGCAAGTCCCTTTCTGTCTTTGACATCCCTAATAATGATAATAGCAATCATAATTGTGTTCTGACCTACAAGGTCCTGCCCGAGCTGGCCTCTGTCAACCCAAAGCACCAGACTCCTTGCCCTGCCTCAGGGCCTTTGCACTTGCTATTTCCACTGATGGGAGCACTCACCTACCTCTGCTTCTTGCACATTCATTCTTCTGATCTCCATTGAAACTTGACTTGCAGGGCCGGGAATGGTGGCTCACGCCTGTAATCCCAGTACTTTGGGTGGCCAAGGCTGGGGGATCACTTGAGTCCAGG